GTGGTGGTGGTGGTGGTGGCGGCGACGGCGGGGGCAGTGGCGGCGCTAGTGGCAGCAGTAAAAGTAGCAGTAGCCCCAGCAGTAGCAGTAGCACTAGCAGTACTAGTAGCAGTAGGAGTAACAGATATGCAAGTGATTTCTGTTGATGCTACTTGCCTACACTTGTCTCACGCGCGCTTCGAGGTATACGCAGCGCATGCTCCTGATGGAGGCTGGTTCATGCTACGGTATATGCTGCCGCTGGCCTCGCGCCGACAGATGCCTGCAAGGTGAACCACGCCGGATTTCTGGGAACATTTGATTTCCTGTACTTGCCCATCGGTCCGCAGCGCAAGTTTTCTGTTCTTGCTGCTGTTGTGAATCTAGCCATGTGCCAGATACGGACACCGGTGCCAATCGGGGGTATGCATTTCTGAACTTCTTGGACCCGTCCCTTTCATGGACGCCAGGATCCTACTTTAACTGTTGAATGCAGCGACGTCTAAGCAAAAAGGTAGGGAATGCAGTTTTCCTCAGGTTTCGCACGATGTATGAAGGGCGCAAGATGACCCGCTTCAACTCTAGCAAGGCTCGAGACGAGACCTGTTACTGGAGCTCATGGAGTCTGGCATTGCTTTGTCAGATCATAACAATCGTGCCGGCTACCCTTCAGGCGTGGTTCTGCCTTTATCCATCTAACGTTGAACACATGCATCCAGTGCAGGGCTTTGAGGCGAACTACATGCACTATGCTTTTGCTCGTGCATTGTTCTCAGAGCACTTCCCAGTGCTGCGTTTCACGAGCCTCTTGGCACCTGGGGCTGAGGTCAGCCGGGGTGACCCGGCAGCTAGGCCGCTCTTCCTTCGCGTTTGGGCCTCAGAAGTTGCGGGTACTTATGCAAGCTCAGTTAAAAGTCCGAATGATTTGACCTGTAAGGAGCCCAAGTCCTTGCCGGTTCCGGCAAGAGGCCGTTACAGTACACGATTACCCAGTCAGCTGCAGATTCAGCAGGTGGCAAAGAAGCTCGCAGAGGCGGCGCCCGCTCCTTAGCTTCTCCCTGTGTTTAGAGGCGCCATGGCTTATGAGAGCACGGGACCAAGGCGGACAAGACAGGTCTGGAGGATGCGTGGTGCTCCACTTCGAGACTGCACCACATGCTAGCTCGCGCAGCTGGGAAGCTCTAGGTTGTCGTTCCGTGAAGGTACGCTCAGCCGTTTGTGTACAACGAGGAGACTTCGCATCTTGCATTTGCCCATGCCTTTTCTTGCTGGGTATCATTTTGCCATACACGCTATGTGTATCGCGCGAAAACATTTCCAGGCTAATCCAATGGCCTGGAGCGAAAGCGACGGCAACTGCCTCATTGCCCGTGCAAGCTTTTTTGGAAACAAGTGTGTGCTCACCAGTACGGTCTGCTAAAATTTTATCTCTAGAGTACGCGGCAACTGCTCACAAGAGTGCGTTCTATCTTACACTCTAGCTGCTCCCTCTTCAGTAAGAGTACAGTAGCAATAGTAGCCATAGTAGCAATCGTAAAGATAATCGTCATAGCAGTACTAGTAGCACCAGTATTAGAAATCATAATGATAGTAGTAGTAGTAGTAGTAGTAGTGGTGGTGGTAGTAGTAGTAGTAGTAGTAGTAAGAATGACATGGGGCTCGCATAAAAACCTGGGATGGCTGAGGTTCAGGCGCGAGCCAGCCCGACGCAGAGGCAGCGACATATCTTTTCTCCCCAAAATTAGGGGTACCTTGAAAGGGAACTATAGGGGAGAGAGAGAGAGATACATATATGTGTATATATATGTATACATATATAGGTATCCCAGAGGGTCCAAATATACAACCATTAGGGAATTGGGACCCACAATTCCTTCTATAATATGGTATTTTGGGGCCTAATTCCCTAATAGTTGTACATGTGGACCTTCTGGGTATGTACATATAAGTACATACATATCACCATGCATCCATGTAAATAACTGAAAAGCAGGGCTAAGTCCCGTATATCATAATCTGAAAGTTTTTGGCAGCTTGAACCTTATTTGAACGCTTGGAACCTGAGGGATGAATATTATATCTCTATATACAGCATGAATATATGCATATATATATATGTATATATAATATGTATATGTTGTAGGTGTGTATCGCGTATAGGTTTAGGGTTAGTACATGTCCACCAAAACATAATCCTGAAGAGGGACCCCGGACCTCCTCAGAAGTGATCTCAACTTATCCTTCCCCATGTTTTCACCTGGGGGATTGTCAAAATTATGGTGCCTTTTTGGCTCCCTATTATAATACGGGGCCTAATTTAGGGGACCCAAAAAGGGACCATAATTTTGACAATTCCCCATCTAGAAGCTCCAACACCTGCTTCCTCCTGGCACCCTAAGCACAAACTCTACACCCTGAACCCTGAATGCAGCCTGGAGAGGCCGGGGCAACGGGAGGTCTCGCTTTTGCCGTGTCGCTTGGGCTTGGGGTTTAGTGGTTTGGGGTGTAAATGTCCTAGGGTTTAATTAGGGTTTAGGTTGGGTACTGGCCCCAATGAGTAACAGTCCAGAATAGGGGTAATAGCATGGGCTGCATATTGTACCCTAGCCGAGGTTTAGGATGTAGGGTTCAGGGCTTGTCCTCCCCCTTGAATTGTCCTAGACCCGAAACCCTAAACCCCCAAACCCTAAGCTATATAATATCCACCCCAAAAAAGCCTAAACCCAAGACTTGGGGGCAGGGAGGTTGCACCCACGACCGGTTGAAATGGGTCCAGGCTCTTTTTTTTCTTCGGATTCATTGAGGGCTCAGGGCTTAGGGTTTAGGGTCTTGATTTTCGAGCTCAAGCTACTTTGTGGGGTCATTTTCGATTCAGTGGACGTCTGGTGATTGTGCCGGGGGCAATTTGTGAATAGTTATATATATATATTTATATATGTATGCATCTATCTAAATATGTACATGGTTTGCCATGCTTCCTCGAAATAATGTACCCTGCTTAAGTCCTCATAAGCGCTCGTAGATGTAGTTCTCGGGATCGAAAAAGGTGAGCCAACCCAGCGTGGATTAGTGGATTAGGTTTGTTGGGGCTTTACCGGCCTTTGCACGGGTGTTATTGAGATTTAGGTCGAGTATATGATACGTGGGGCGCTTAGGGGTGAGGATGTGATCCCCCCCTCCCTCGCCCTACACTTCCGCCTCTCCCCCTTGCATGACCCTCCCTTCGCCCAATCCCTGCGGTAAAGATCTCGAAGCACTTAAGTTTGCACTAAGCCTTCAATCCCTTCCTGTGTTCAGCCACGCGCCTTCGTCCAAGCTGGTGGAGAGGTTGGCAACGCTTCCGGCCATTTCAGCTGCCAGTGCTGCCGTTCTTCTCCGCACCTCGGTTGCCAGTGAACTTTCGGAGGAAGGTTCCCATGTCTGTATGGTCCAACTTTGCGCTCAAATGAGTTTGTACAGCGTTTGGGTTGATAGAGGACATAGTGGCTTGGCTTTGTTGATTATCCAGATTTTGTGGGCGGTATGTTGAGTGGGCATGGGGTGTTTAAAGAGGCGTAGGTGTAGGCGTTTCGCAGATTTCTACCTAAACCCCTCCATCTTAAATACTTATAGTTGGAGACCATATACCAGTATTTGAGTGTACAAGAAGGGTCCTAGTATACAGGGATCGCCGGCTTGGATCCAAATTTGTTGCGCGGGGCCTGATGTCAAAGCCTGTCATGTTTGGAGTACAGGGGCTCCTCTTGTTGAACGACAAGCCGCCGCCAACAACATCATTCGCTTAAGCCCTAAACTTGCTCAACCTGGTGGTTCTCGGCGGGGTGACTGCGAAGGTAGAGAGTACACATCTGCAAGCGTTAAGCCCCCCCAGCCTTGAAACCCTACTGTAGTCTAAGCTCCTTAAAGGTGGGCTATCTAAGGGATCATATAGGGTTCAGGGTTTAGGGTCTAAACTCCTTAAAGGGGGGTTATATGGGGGCGTATACTGGGGAGTCTTATAGGGCTTATTCAGGGGGATACTAGGAGTTTAGACTATAGCTCACATGAACGCCACACTCTACACCGGAGGAGGCTTAATCCTAACCTCTACTGCCCGACAACCTTGAACCCTAAACCCACTAACACTTAAATCCCCACAGCCCGAAAGCCTGGCCCTCAACCCAAGAACCCTAAACCCTACCATCCCCCAAACTCCAAGAACCCTACGCCCTAAAACACCCTAGACCCTAAACCGTTAAAACACCAAACCCTGAACCAGCCCTGAGTCAGGTGTTGTAGGTTTCGCCGGCATGGTGAGAGTGCTCCTAGGCTGACGAAGGCTTCTGGAGGAAGGCTCCTGCCTTTGTGGTTTAGGGTTCGGGGTTTAAGGTTCAGGGTTTGAGGTTCAGGGTTTAGGGTTTAGGGCTTAGGGTTCAGGGTTAGGGACTTAACATGCATCCTAGATAATTGAATTGTGGGCCTAGGGCTTAGGCCCTGAATTGTAGGGGTAAGGTTTCTCTCATGGCTTTTTGTTGGTTGTATATCGGGGTCCTTAGAAGACTTGTTTTGTGTGTATATATGTATGTGTGTGTATATAGACATGTATTTGGTGTCCAATTGGAGTGACCCTACCAAACGAACTAAACGAAAATCCTACCACAACAATTGCCAGCATTATGGTCTTGTTTTGCTTGCGGTGTTCTGGTATAGAGCATCTAAGTAGGCCGCAACATGATATTGGTACTGTCTGAAAGTCCTGTAGTACGCCTGTTTGGTGGTTTAGGATGGATGGGTTTCGCATTAGGATGTGAGGAGGCATTTAAGGGATATTTGGGGAGTGTTGCAGAGACTGTGGGAGTCTTTTGGTACTGTCGAGAGACTCCCACGTACTCCCTACAGAATCCCAGTTTGTCAGCTCCATGGTCCTCTCAATTCACCTGTATATTTCCTGTAAGCGCATACAGCTTGATATATACATGTTTTTCGTGCTGTGCGGTGTACTCACTATTCCACCTTTCAGTGCCTACCTCAGCATGCCCCTGTTTCCCCTAAACATTGATCTGTGAGCCTAACGCCCTAAACCTTTAAAGGAGCGCGAGCCCTTCCCAAACCCTAGGCCCTACTCCCTAGTCTTGTCTATGAAAGTCTTACCCGGACCTACCACATACTTATGATAGTAACAACAATGAGAATATTTTAATGCCTCGTTCAAACCTAACAACAATGAACATGACTATAATGATGAAGGTGGTCATGACCATGATGATGATGATGATGGTGATGATGATGATGATGATGATGATGATAGCGTTTAGCCCCAATGAAATGGGCAAGGAGGCTGCTGCTACTCTGGATTGTCCAGAGCTAAGCCCTCAACCCCTAAACCCCAAACCGGGCGCGAGTCTCTAGATTTTAAGCCCAAAACCTTGGGTACTGCCTCCACTCAGTAACAGATGAATAAGAAAGAGAATACAAGAATAACATAGCATGGCATATAGGCCTCAATATTGCCCCGATTACAGACTCTTACTGATTGTTACCGGGCAGTGGCAGTACCAAACCTAAACCTAAGCCCCCTCAACCCTAAACCCTCCTAAGGCTTCTCGCCATTTGGGCAGCGGGCTTTGCACTGAGTTTTGCAGCTGATGGAGTGGGAGCAACGGTTGAGCAGGCGCACCACAAGGGGGTGAAGGCTAGAGGATCTTGGTAAGGGTTATAGTCCCCCTTAAGTAGATAGAATATGGGGTATATGGGGATCTTATTGTAATATCCCCGAACCCATATTCTATCTACTTAAGGGGGACTTTCAGGGTTTGGGGTGTAGGGCTTGAGGGCTCATGCAAGGGTAGGTGGGGACACCGGGACCCTGGCATAATTATGTATAGAGAGAGGCGTTTTGTTGTTGTTTTTTTGAGTTTAGGGATTTAAGCCTTGGGTTTGGAGTTTGGATTTTTAGATTTCCGGATGTGTGCTTGTTCACAGTTTAAGTTTAGGCGCCTGTTCAGAGTTTAGGCCTCAGGCAGAATTGACCCCCTAAACCTCAGAAGGGTGCTACGGCCCAGGGAGCTGACC